TTTTAAATTTTATTTTTCATTTAAAAAATTTTGTATTTTGTTGAAGTGTAATTGATTTACACTGTTAGTTTCAGGCGTACAGCAAAGCGATCCAGTTAGACACACACATTTTATGTATGACAATATGACTTTAAATAGATCATTTTTTTTTCTTTCCCCCAGATCTAGCTTGCATGGCAATTTAGCCTGGCCTTAGAATCGTTACATTATGGGTAAATGGTTTGGTTGTGACATAGGATCATTCTGACTTCAGAAAAGCAGTAGACAGTTTCTAGAAGGAAGGAAAAAAGTCTTTATTGAGACGATCAAAAGGGACATAAAGGCAAAAACTGACTTTCACTGAAACAGGACTGGGGACCAGGCCCCCAGTGTCCTTATTGTAATTCATTGCCTGTTTCTAGGCCTCATGATAGAATTCTTCCTTGCCAGACAGAGGACTTTGTGAAATTGTAAATGAGTATGACTTCCAGCACGCTGTGGAAATATACGCCCCCCGATAGCCCATACATTATTTCTGCTTAGTTGTGGTGGCTTACATTTCTCGGAACTATCGGAGAGAACTTAATTCAACTCACACCACATCACTTTAAAATTGTGCAGCTCTCTTAATCAACCTTTGTATCAGCCACAAATGTGCAGTATGACCTAATTTGAAAATGTCCCAAAGTGCTGACTCAAACTGTTAGTGAATAAAGGCTAGTCATTACCATTATGACACTAATGTGATGCAAAATAAAATTGAGTTGCATCAGCTGAACATTAGTTTGCAAAAATATTAGTGATTGGAGCCATTTTCTGTTCATATTTTATTTATACTTATATATGTAGATGTATACATCTGCATATATTTATTCATTTTTTTGCTTTCTTTGAGACAGCCTTGCGATGGTGTTTTTTTAAGTGGGGAGGAAGGAAGTCACATTTTTAACACTGACAAAGCCACTAGATTAAAAGTAGATTGTGTGTACATCACGAGCCCCCCCTCTATAAGGTGAAAACCTATCGCTGCTGAATTCTTATTGGAATACTTACACACATCTAAGTAGCAACATATGAAAGTTCTCATCTTCCCCTGCACTTTGGGGCCAAATTCCAAGATTTTCAACAGCGCTGGTACTACTGACCGTTTATTATTTTGTATCACTCACAAATTCTCTGACTTTTGTCTTTTGGAATAAGAAGGATTTCGAACTTCTTTCTTTTGGGTTCTCTTCCCCATTTTCTTACTTGACCAAAGGGGGAAAAAAAATCTGAGACAGAAATATGTACTCTTAATCAACATTGGCCATTAATTACTTTTGAACAAAAGAAAGCAAGACGTGAGACTAGAAATTATTTAGCCTCATCCTTACTGATAATAATTGATGGAATGAAACATAAATTATCTTCTCCTCACACAGTTTAGATGGTTTTTTAAAAAAAATGTATGGGCTTATTTAATATTTTACATTCTAGAGCTAGTGCTGGTGTCAATCTATAAATTGATAATTAATAATTAAAAAGGAATCAGCATGAATCTTTCCAAAATTAGAGAAACTGTCCCAATAGTCAATAAGGAATTCTGCCCTGTGTCCCATTTGGGGTCTCCTGAATTCTGAAAATTCTGAACATAAAATTTAAACGTTACTGATCAAATACTTCTGATTTTATTTAACCGCGGGAACGAGCCAAGAACGCAAATACCAAGGAAGTAGGTTGTTCTTAAAAATTTTCAAGGACAAGAAGTTTTGGCTATTAAGAAATTATTTAACCTGCTTCAGGTTGAGAGTATATACATCTTCATATCATAGCACTATACACAATCGGCAGAAAATACGGCTAAATTAAAATGCTGGCAAGCTTCAGTCATTCACTTTTTAGAAAAACAAGTAAAGCCTTGAAGCCAGATGTGTAGAAATTTGCTACTATGTGATGACTTTAGTATTTTTGTCTATTTTATATTATGTAACATGCGGCTTGGACGGTTTTTATGACCTACGTTTTATTTCCCCATTAAGATCATCCAGATTTTTAAAAAGTAAGTTTGAGAAATTTCAAAGCAGACTTGCCAAAACCAGCATTCAGAAGCACGGATGCTTTCAAGCGCATGAACACAGCCACACTGTCAATTTACCTGAAAAAGAGGATCACGGTTTTTAACTAAAATACAATTGTTCTTATTTTTAGGTTGGGGAGAGGGGGAAGGGATGTGGATGTGATGGCTGTGAACGGATTGCCAGCCTCTTAACAGTTCATCATTCTTAAATAAGAGACGTGTAGCAGCCCCCTTCTGAGAAAAATCTTTCCTGTGGATTTTACTTTGTCCACGGCAGGACAAATTGCGTGCTAAGTTGGAATCATTCTGAGATGTAAGACACCTTCATGACTTTCATGACTGTCCTTGGAATACTGAGGAGGTGACATTCCTCTTTGGAAGATGAGGGGAGAATGCCCCCCACCCTCTTAATTGATGATTTACGGTGCTCTCCCCTGGGGCCACAACCAATGATCTGTAAGCTTGTTGAATTTCGAAGCAAATACTAAGTATAATCAATAGATAAAAATTAAAAAGAAAAAGAGAGAGAGGGGGGAAAAATGCAATGAAAATTTATGACCTTAACATTCCTTCAGGGTCAAGCAATTTATCAAATTCTCTGACTTTCTGGTTTCAATTACAGAGCCATTGTGGAAGGAACTTATTTTAGCAGGTTCATTTGCCTCAGTGGGGAATACAGGACTTTGGCCCTAATGCTTCACCTTTAGTGCAGGCCATTTGAGCCTTAGAACAAATACCAATCATCACTCTTTGGGAAAAAAAGAATCTGCATCGGCGTGGCCTATTGGAATGGGGTTTCTGTCAAGGTAAACGGTTGTCGGCAATGACTGTGGTAGAGTGGCGATAAATCCCATTTTATTGCTGAAAAATTCCAGCTTCTCTCCATGCCTGACAGCTCCCCACATTCTCATACCCATTTGGGCAATTTCTGCGCTCTGTCCATCTGGTTCTCATTACCTCTCAACCTGCCTGTGTCTGATCCAGAAAAAGTGCAGGTCAGAAACGGGGAGGGGAAAGAAACAGAGGTGATGAACAAAACAGAAAGCAGGGGGGTGGCCCTTGGAGGTCGGGATAGAGGTGAAGGAACAACAGGAAAGTGGGGATCCCGGCTTAGGCTCAGACCAGTCGCTGGAAAGGCCGTTTAGATCTATCACAGAACAGTAATGACAGAGCCTGAGCTGGGAAGCCAGAGGAAATTCCATCTTTAGATTCAGGCCCTTAAAAGGCACCTGCTTTAAGGTGGAGGAGAGTGAGAGAATGCGGTAGGTATGGGGGGGGCGCAGATTAAGGGAAGCAGAGAAGGGAGAGTCCAGCCCAACCCGTCTAGTGAGAGCACTGTATCCCAGAGCACAGGGCCTGGTCTCCAAGAACTTGAAGTCCAGCATGAAGCAACATGGAGTGTGGAGCCCTGTGTCCACAGTTGGTCTGCTTCCAAATATGGGGATAAAACTCTGCTGGAGATTCAATTTGGGTTCAAGAATATAATTTTTGTTTTTAGAAGAAGGAAACTTGAGAACCACCAACAGCTTTGTCTCCATTAATTTTTCCAAGAAAATTAATATTTAAAAATGCGCTTTTTCTAATCAGCACATTTATAAGATGGTTCATTCATGGAATGACAGGACCAGCAGTAACCATAGCCCTGCATATGGGCATTTTTGGAATTGCTGTGCATTTATGCCTTTGGAAAGCTAGCCTCATTCTCTGAAGCTGAAATCCTTTTGATCATAATTGCTTTTGATCTAAAATTACTCACTGTCACCATAAGATGCCACCTGGGGACAAAGAAATAAATACAGTAATTATTTGATAATAGATATAAACAATAAGCCGACTTAGACATGATCCTCAATTAGACTAGGATGAAACTGTGTACCTATATATGTATAAATATAAAATTTTCTTCTCATTTTGATGGGGTCATTATAGTTAATATTAAAATACAATTTTGAAAAGTATATCAAAGTACAAGTGATAAGTATTTGAGAACTTAAATGAAAATTTTAGAATCAGGTGAATGGTTAGATGGCTGGTGGTTATTTCGCTACCTGTTCTGAAGGCAAAGTTTGCAATTTTGCAAGTGTCCTAAAACCAAGTATGATCTTGTATTCTTATGTGTGTTGGAGAGCAGAAGCATTGCTATGATTTGCAGACAGAATCCCTTATCCTAGATATGTTTATACAGACAGTATGTCTTAGCGCCTTCTGCATCCCAGGAGTACAGGGCGCATCCCGGGACCTCAAAATTCACTTTTTTCACAGTCAGGCCCCTAAGTGCTGCCATGAATATCTCAGTTTCATTGGCTGAATTCTAATAGCAAGATTATGGTAAATTTTAGTTGATGAGCTGGACCTTGTAGATAAGAAATACTGGCTTTCAGGGAAAGCCACATATATGTGCTGATTAACACAACATAGTAAATCAACTACAATTAAAAAAAGAGTACTGGCTTTCAATATTTAAGATTTAATTTCCAAATTTTCAAGCCGTGCATACGTAAGAGAATTTCTAGAAAATCTACCTGAAATTGTAAGTGAAATCCACATAAGACATTTAAGTGGAAAAAGAGATTGTTTATAAATGACATTTTAATTAAAATGACTAGACAGTTTGCACTGAAATAAATTACAGATGATCAAAAATGGAAGTTTGTTATTTGGCAACTTTAAAGTGAATACTTTCAGTCAACAAATGCAGCTCTGAAACAGACATCTTCACGTGTACATATTAATAGACATAAAGTTTTGGCTACTGTTACGTATCCATTAAAATGGTCATAATATATGGCATCTCTAATTTGGAAAGCAATTTCAGATTCTTAGCCAAAAAAAGAATCTCACTTGAACTTTACTTTTCTGGGCTGTCCATATATCAGAGAGATGTGGTCATTGAAACTCTAAAGGATATTTGTTTCTTTTAATAGCATAGCAGAAAATTAATGGCATGGGGGAGGGTGAAGTGACAACTTAACTTGATGCTTGATAGCTGTTTACTTACCATTGTGTGCCCAGATTTCAGTGTCCTGTAAAAGAAAGGGAAATAAAGAAACCACGGCATTCATATGGCTTTTAGGGAACTTAAGACACATGGAAGAAAGTGCTTCGAAGGCTATTGAAATATTTACAAAACAAATCATTTACATTTAACTTTTGTAGTTGTAAAACCCAGAGCGCCTACAAAGACAGAGCCAACTTTAGTTATAAGAAATACTTCGGCATCAAAATGGTTAATAGTATTATAGCTTCAAAAGAGCCTATTGGCTCACCCTCAAGGATGCCCTGCAGTTGTTGTTAAAGTCATCAGATGAAGCTAGCCTTCTCAGCTAGCCTTTAGATTTGTCTGCTAACAGTAAAAATACTATAATAAATCGGTAACATATGTTGCCAGGCAAGGAAAAGTGATATAAATAAAGAGACTAGGAGACCCAAACCAAGTACAATGTGAAAAGAAGTTAACTTGCAATCTATTCGTTGGCTAATTACCATTTGAAAAGTAATTTGAAAGTGTTACTGTTATTTGCTTATCTTCTACCTCATTTTTCTTTTTTTCTCTTCAGATTGCATTCTTACCCAAATACTCTTCGTGATTGCCTGCTTTGCGGCTTTGGGGTAAGTCCCAGTTTTCCACAACCTTAAGAAAAAAAAAAATGCATAACATAAAAGATGCCAAAAAGACTTATGTGTCCTGATGTGCGGGTTTTGTGAAATATACATGGGTTCGTTGGAGATGGGGAGGGGTTGGAGGGGAGGTAATGAAATAAAGAGAAAGGGTTTGTTTCTGCAAGGATCAAGAGTGTGTGAAAGTGTGCATTGCAAACGAGTCTCCCATCAGGAAAGCCACCTCTGGAATGGAAATGACAAAGCTTGGAACACACACTATCAATTATTTTCACTAGCATTTAAAATATAGAAAACAAAATCTGCTTTGGGAATTGACTGAATATTTTATTTAGCTTTTTTATTGAGACATCCTTTGAAAAATGGCATAATATAAATAGTTTTACAAAGCAACAATATAATCAATCTCTAAACTAGAATATAAATCAAGGATTTCATTAACTGCTGGTAGCCAGTTTAAATTGTAGTCTTGTCTATAATGTCTATCTATCTATGTATGTCCAAGTTATATTAAAAACCTTTAAATGGCTTTGTAATATCAGCTACATCTAGCTATTATAATAATTAATGGTACTGTTTTATAAATCAATACATGTATTCTTGATAAATTCATATCCAGTTAATGGTGTAATTTAAATAAAAAATTAATGTAATAAAGGACATACAGAAACGGGCAGGGAATCTTTAAAGGTTAAGAGACAAATTTGTCTAAATTCATTTTTAACCTGTTTTGAAAAAGTTTATATTTAAAATCAGCTGAGATGGACCTTGTTTCTGTGAAACTAATCTTGCCATGTCTGTTGGTATCTAGTTTTGAATTTGGAAGATATTTTCTTCTTTTAATTGCTAAGTTTTAATTACCTATTTATGATACTGTGGGATGTTTAACCACCATTGTACTCTTTTGTAGTTATTGAATACGCTTCAGAAAAACAGAACAAAACAAACTAAAAACCTCAAGCTAGTCATTTATTTTCAATACATGAATGAAATGTAAATGCTTTATATTTTTTTATACATCACTAAATGAACTGAGCTGAAAATCTCCAAAGCTATATACAAATTTTATTTTGTGGGGGGAAAAGGGACTGATTTGTTCAATGAATTTGCATGTGTAAGAGCCCAGCGTTTTTACTGCTTCCACTGAATGAACATCCTAGGAATTTTAGAAAGAAAAGAAAAATGCATTGAAGAGTTTGAAATGTATCTTAACGCTGCACAGGGGTGGAGAAACAGTCTACCAAAAGAAGAGTATATTTCTGTTCTAATTTTAAAAACACATACCAAAGGCATATTGAGGAATAACAAGATTTAGAAAAACAACTGAATGTTATAATGTGATCAAATACCATCTTAAATCTTTCCAAATAAAATTTCATTCCGTTTATAGAGTAAGCATTTTACACAAAATATCTTTCAGAATTATGCAGACCAGTCTGCCCTGCCATTCTCCGTGACATGGTGCAGAAATGTTACTTTAATCCACTGAGCTTTTTCTGACATTTTTCTTAACATTGCTCAGCCTTATTTAGAGCAGCCAAGGAGATGTGTGCAGTTTCCTTTGACACTGATGGGTGTTTCAAAATGTTACAGGAGAAGGTGGTGTGGAGGCGGGGTGGGGAGAAAAGAAAAGGTTTGCTGCTAGTCACTTCATCAATAGAGCTACAGGAGCAATTACTGTTTGTTAAAAGTTTCCATTTCCAATGAAGCTAAATTTTAAAGAAGCCCCATCCTTTTAGTAGAGCTGCTGCTTGGAAGAGAAGGGAAGAGAACGCACATTAGTGATTACACGCTAAAGTCTACGCGAGTCCTGGAACCATTTAAAATGTATTGTGTTTTTAGACGAAACCTACAGCAAAACCACTCCTGAGAGGCTTAATTTAGGTTTTATAGGAAGAACATAAAAAAGACCAGGTTACAGCAACACGCTGAAATATGGGGTGCATTTTAAATATCTTCATTTAAAAACGTATGTTTATTTCCTCTCCTGGGATCACTAACGTGGGTCTCGACAGAGAAAGCGAGGACATGCTACATTCTTAAAAATTATCTGGTAAAGGAATCACATTCCAAGACAGGTCGGAGCATTTTTATGACTCCAGATAACCTCTTAATTATGTCACTGCCTTCCACTTGTTAATTGGGGACATTCAACACGGTTAACCCGCGAGTGGGTTGCCTTTAGAAGACTAACTTATTATTATTATTATTAAGAATTAGAAACTCCTTTTATTCTTATCATCATATTATTGCACATATGATTTCAGCACTGCTAAAAACTTACCTGCTTTAAATACAAAGCACCAAAGACCAGGTCCAGATGCCCGGAACAGTGTTGTTAATTACCTCAAACTGGGCAGCCCACGAAAAGCTCTAAGGGATAGATCATTTTACTTCTCCTGTCTCCCCACCCCTGCTGTCTCCCCGACCTCTCCCACAATTCCTCTTTGAACCCTTTTTAGGTGTCTTCTGCAGCCACCAACGTCTGAGATACTCAGATTCTTTCAGAGAACAAAGTGTAAGCGGAGTAAATAAAACCTCGTTTCACTGTTGCTTTATCAACTCTCCTAGGCAGACTTCCTGCCAGCCAACCTGCGCTGTGAAGACCCATAAAATTATGCAATACTGACTTCTTTGGAGGTTCTCTAATCAGATAATGGCCAGTGTTAGGAAGGGAAGGGCCCAGGGCAACATTGCTGGCACTTAACACAGGGCTTGGTCGTTACCTGTCTGCAAGACACCAATAAACAGCTGATTACTATCCTATAAGGAGCCAGTATTTTACACTTACCCTAGTTATTTCTCCCTCCTTTCTTTGCAACTTCTTATAACAGCAAGTATTTGTCAAGAAGACCTATGCGCAGTACCCTCACAGGCCCCTTAAAAATAAGAATTTTCGTAGCGTGAAATGATGCCTTTATATGAAATGGTGAGAATCATTTTGGTTTTTTCCAAGAGCAAAGATTTGATTACTTTAAAGTCCAAATCTTTCAGATGTGGAGACTCCCAGACACCATCCCCCACTCTCCTGTCCCCTTTTCTCCTCTGTGACAGGTTCACAGGCTGCAACCAACGGGGGTTTTAAAATGCAAATATTTATATTTGAGCTCTGGCAATAACAGAGTCATTTTGCTTCCTCTGTTAGCCTGTGATAATTGATGCTTCATACCTGGAACTACGTCTCATTTCTCTCTTTACACATGAAGATATTATATACATAAAAGATAATTTATGGAAAGGAGACAGCAATTTGAAATAATAATCCTAAATTTGACCGTATAATCTTTTAAGGCTTTAAGAGTCAGAGATGCAGATTTCTACACTTTTGGAGAAAAACTTGATTGCAGTGGGGAGATCTGTGCCTTTTCAAAACGCCTATTGAATTTGAATGCCTGCGTGGTCAAAAAAAAAGAGGGAGAAAAGGAAGGCAGGAGAGAAAAGGGGGTGAGTTTTATGTGTGCTTTAAACGAAAGGATTCCACCACATGCTCAGACTTCTTGTTACAATTTGATCGACTTTCTCTTTATTATATCTGAATATGATGTTTTTAGTAACCAATGCGAATGGCAAAACAGGGAGTCTTATAAATAAAATGCCTTCTCTTGCCTGCGGTCCTCTTCTTAGAATGAACAGCAGTATAGCCAGAAGAACTGGACCCTCGTTTCACAACCTCATACAAAAGCCAGGCAATTCTGGAGCCAAACAAACAAAGGGGGTGTAAGCGATTTCATTTATTTTGATAATCCTGCCCCTGCACGGGGAGCCTTTCGCGGTCTTTGTCAAAGTGAATGACAACAATTTGGCCAACTCTCTCTGAGCTGCACTCAACAGTGACAGGCAAATTATCAGAGGCCCTGCACTTCTTATTATCAGAGGAGAAGCCATCAGGGGGACGCATGGAGGATACCTCTCCCTTGTCACTATTTGTCAGTGGGACAAGGGCCACTGCTATGGGTAGCTGACAGGTAATTTCAACAATAACAATTACTCCTATTACTGGTGTCATAAACAATTCGCCCAAGGCGTGACAATAGCAAAGCTTTATAATTCAATGCCATATAAATAAATGCCAGCAGGTAACAAGTAATTTAGCTCCAATCAAGCCTTCACCCCGGCATTAATATTGTTATTGCAAGAAAATGGAAAATTGAAAAAATTCAGCATGTTAATGAATTAAGAGGGGTTCAAGGGCTAGACAAGAGGGGTTGAAAAAGGGAAACCAAAATTATTATCGGATCATATTGGGTGCCGTCCTGGGGGCCAAACAGCAGAATAATTACTTTCAGATAAGAAGAGGATCAGGGGTACTGTTTGCCTTGGACTTCAGACCTGGGCAAAACGTGACACATCCTTTCAAAAATCCGCCTCTCTCCAATTTCTGAAGAATGTAAGTAGAATTACGAGAATGCGTAGATAGTGGAGCATCTCACTGGCCTTTTTTTCCCTCCTCCTGAAATATTTTATCAGAAACAGGCGCCAGCACCAGAGGAACCTTTTTGTCTGTTTAAGAAAATCACAACCGCACCTGCTTCCTTTGCTTTGTCTCATAATGAAACTATTTTTAATCAGCCTGTGTGTATCTGGGCTGAAGGTAAAGCTGAGCACCTCTCTTTGCTCTCCAGCTGGTCACCTTTTGGAAGGAGACCCGAGGATACCGTCCAGTCTTCCTCTGTAAAACTTCCTGATCAGACGAATTTGCAATTTCAGTATTTGTCCAGCAAGACAATGTGCTATCACGGTGACAGCAGTAAAAGAATTTGAAAATCTCTAATTAGGGGAGCTGCGGAGCAATTAACGCATGTCAAATTTCACTTCATCAAGTGCCACTCTAATTGTCCCTCTAAAAATTAATGGATTTTTTTTCCCTTTTTGGGGGTGTGTGTGTGTGTGTCCCCTTAAGGCAATGTTGATTCAAATCTGCTCAAGATGCAGTGTTGCACAGCTAAGCATCTTCTTGATTACAACCCGCCGCACTTCTAACTGGGCTCATTCTCACTGCCACGGATACTCTGTCAACAGTCAAATTACACCACGCTGATAACAATGCATAATGGTGTTCCTCCTCCGAGGCCCCTGGCAGGAGATGGGGGTTCATAAAAATGTGAGGTTTTCTTCTTAACTGTCTCTAAAGGAAGTTTGTGTGACCAGGTCACTAGTCAGGCGTTAATTTAATTTTATTTTTTTTTAACGAATGCGTTAATTTCAAGACAAGGAGTGACAGGATGGAATAGGAAAATACTTCATTGAAAAAAAAAAAACAGAAGGATGAGGAACTGAAAATATCTGTGGCCAAAGTTTTGCTTAAACACTTTGCTCGAAGACATTTTCAAGAGCACTATTCTTGGTTCAATACCAGGGATTTTTTTTTTTCCTTTACTTATGGGCTGTAAACATTGGAAGCCTCTCTTGAACAGACAGTATTTAGATTATGAGAGAAGTTTGTATAGCTGCCACATTTGCCAGAATCCTCAAAACATCACAGGACACGGAAGATAAATGACCTTTTTTTTTTTAGGTTAAGACAGAATATTCCAGATAAATGTTGATTCATTTTAACTGTTTTTTTTTTTTAATCCCAGTTGCTTGTTGCAGATCTGACGTGCCCGAGTCATCAGACCATGTGAGGACTAGTTCTCACTGGAAAAGGAAAGAAACACAGTGATAAGATGAATTGATGTTCCATCTTGTTAACGATCATTGAGATTTTATATTTCTAAAACATGATCCGATCCAGCACAAAACCGGGGAAATTAAACAAAATGCTAAACGTCTCTCTTTGCAGATTCTTCAGGGAGAGAAAAGCATTCCCATGGATGACCTCTCCATTTTCTCATCATGTAAGTAGATTTTTTGGTATATGTTTTCTTTCATCAGATTTATTCAGTCAACAATTAAATTCACAGAATATATACTTCACTTCTTTTTTTTAAACTCACAGGTTGAGTCCAGCTTTTTATTCACTGACAACTAACTCAAACATCTAAAACTTGACATTCTGAGGTCTGTATTTCTGAATATCAAAAATTCCTTCCTTCTCATAAGGCCCCAACCCAGCTTGCTCTTAAGTGGTCTAGTTCAAACAAAAGAACATGACATCCCCTTTCAACTAGCAAATGTGAAATTCTCTTAAAGTCGACTGCGGTGGGGGCTCCCTGGAAGTTCTGCCATTAGGTTCACACAAATTGAATTATTTTCATCCTTCTTAAATATCATTCTTCCAACTTTATTGCTTTATAAATATAGCAATACTAGGTTGAGAGTTTTGTGGCTTATTTACAAATAAAAGTATCTCGATAAAAAACAAAAAACAAAAAACAACCAAGTTCGGTATACTTTCGAAAGACAAAAACCTGGAATGCTCTCATATGAAAACATTACGAAAGGATTGTAAAGGGAAAATTAAAGGGAGAAAACTTGATTATATAATGCAATCCAGCAGTAATCAATTTTACCTTCAATATCTTGCTTTTGTTTTCAAAATGCTAAATAAACAATACATAATGCATCCCTCATCAGCCAAACCATGGAGGCTCTGTGCTCAAATAACAGGAAACATATTCAATTTTCCTAACAGAAGACAGTTCATTAAGCTGTGCCACATCAAATAAAACTTTAATTTCTCCAGCATCAGAGTCGCAATGAAAGCAATTGAAGAAGATGAGCCATATGGTACTTCTATCAGCAAACACATATTGCTCATTCCCCCAAAGTTTTCTAATTCTGCTCCCCAGACCTGCGTAATATAGATAATGTGCTCCGAGAGCAGCAACCATGAGCTATCTAGTGTACACTTCTAATACTGTATTTAATGGGAAATAATGAATCATAAAAGCCTAGAGAAGACGGCTTTTGCTACCCTAAATCTCAGCTGTAATTTCATTGTTCTGTGCCTAAGATGCTGTTTGCCCTTTCCAAACAACAGCAGTTGAACATAATTATGCTGCTGCAAACCTGGACTTGAAAAAGCATCCCTTAGAGCACCAAGTTTCTATTAACTCCTGAAAGTCTGACTTTAATGACGCACCGACGCAGATGTGGAGATAACCAAGCCTGTGTCATTTTAACCTCCCCTGCTCCCCCAGAAGCCTTTTCTCCTTCTTCTCTTTGGTCAGACTGCTCAGTGCCTTTATAGTCCCTCCTTCATCCCCTGCTCCCCACCCCCCACCGCCCCCCATCCATGCAACAGGAGTGGCATGATTAAAAATGAGGCGATTTTCTTGTTATTAGCAAATGTGACATTTGCCTGATGAAATGCACATAAAATGAGAAAGCTACACGGCACTCCGAAGATCTGTCTTCGCTCCAATCCAAGCTACCAAGATGAAATAATTTAGGTAAAGGAAATTTCAAGATCGTCCTACGTTGCTAGGGCAGAATGCTAGGATTGGATTCCAAATGAAAGAACCAAATACTGCTGAGCTTTTCGAGAGACAGTATTTTGACACATGTGAAGTGTCTAGTGTTTCATCTCTCACCTTAACTGCTTTGTTTATTAACCTAAACACTCTACATAAGCTCAGATGCGGCAGTTTCCCTGTCATGGGTCCAGCCACTCTTCTGGCAAGATCTTGGGGCTGGGGTTTCATTCCTTTTTAGAGACAAATGTTTCCTTCCCCCTCCTCCCCAAATAGGTTAATGATTTTAGCTTTTCCATTTTTAAAGCTCATCAAATCGATATTTTCCCACTACAATGCTAATTTAGAACACCATTAAATCACGCCGCGGATACATATTGAAAACATATTTTAATGGTTTTGTTTGTTTTGGCATCATAGGAACCAAGGACGATTAAATTAAAAAGAGACTTTTAAAAGTTAGAGATTGCCTTTTTAAAGCTTATTAAAAGCAGCATGTTACATGCCTGTCTCTGAATTAGCTCTAACACACTGAATTGCCCTCATTAAAACTAGTTGTTTGGGCGCTGCTCTGTGATGGTTCAAACCCTTTCTCAGGCCGATTCTTCCTACTTCCTAACGTGACGTCTCTTTTCATTTAAATTTACAAAAAGGAAAAAAAAAATCATCGGGCCAGTGGAAGAAACCATCACCTAAAACGTGATCCAGCACAGAGAGACAGCAATAGTAAACCATGAAAAGACCAACAGGTAAAATAACCACAGTAACATCTCAAACATACTCAGGGAAAAGAGAAAAAAAAAAATCACAACCACCCTACAGAAGCAGTCCATTGATTATATTTCATGAATGCCTTAAAACAAATGTTTAAACAGTTTTCTGAAACAGGGCAGAAAAACCCCTGCGTGCTCCACTGGTTTGCAATGACAATGGCCTATTGCAATGTAAAACACGCTGGAGAATAAAAAGGTGCTTTTTGTTACCATTTTATCAAAGCTGTTCATCTTCGAGCTTGCAGGCAGCCTTTTGCTGGAATTGCAGATATTTCTCTGTCCGGGCTCCTTTGTTTGTGCATCTCATTTGCATATATTTATCTCCAGCTGAGGGTGCTTTCTGCTCATTAAGGCCTCCCTGCACATTTCACAAGCCAGCTGCTAAGAGGGATGTCACCTGTGGTGACTGAGAAAAGAGGGGTGAAAAACTAAATTCTTCATAAAAAGGAAATCTTCTGAGCCTCTTCCCCTATAAATGGGCACCATTTGTGTTAAACAGCCTCTTGTCATGATAGATGCCTCCCGAGGTCAGGGGTTAAAGTTGATTTGAAGGTCAGCAGTAAAACAACAGACAAACCAGACGCCAAACTGGTTCCTTAGCTGTCGGTGGGAGCTGTGGTACAAACAGGTCTTGAACCTTTTTCAACCTCTAATAAAACAGGGGATGGATCTGAAGTGGATCAACCAGGCCCCTGAGGCAGCAGCACAGAAAAACACAAATAATATCAATCTCAGGCAACCACAGGAAACAATGGGGCATTTCTCCCTGCGACATGCAGGGTGCCATTGTTTCAAGGGCTGGGGAATTAATTCCACTTATTTATTTAAGGCGTGTCAACTCACTGCCTAAACCTGTTTCAGTGTCAAGATGAATAAAACTTTTATGGCTCATAAAATAGTGCCATTCATCTCAATGTTCTTTGTGGTGCGTGGTTTTTTTTTTCCCCTTTCTGGCATACTGAGCTCGGCCTCTTCTCCTAAATGGTTACATCTGAACTGTTGCTCCGATCCACACCATATTAGAGAAAAAAATGATTTCACTGGCAAATGGATCTCAACCAGAGATGACACAGAAAAAGCATTTTAGCTGCCCTGTAATAGTCCCCAAATTCCTCCTAAATACTCCTCGTGCACTGGCCTCTGTTTCGAGCGTGCATTATTTACAAAGCAGAAGGTTGGTTACTTCAGAGTTCAAAAAACAAGAGGAAGAAAAAGTTAGCTTTCTAGACCACTATGCATTTCATTTGACTTTAGAAATGCAGACTTGTTAGGGTCCCCCTTTTCATTCATCACTTTTTGCCCAAGTCTTCGCTGCTGTATAGTCGGTTTGCACCGATGTAGTAATTCAAATGCCTCCTTTACCTCTGCTGCTTTGAATTTTATGTTTGATTTGCAACATAAAATGCCAAACATAAATGGAAAAGAAAATGCCTTTCAGTGGATTTTGTATTATAAATTTTTTCAAAGTTCAGTTGTAGAATCCATTTTACTTTTGATTTCCAGCTTATGACTTTAATAATAATGTAATACTCACAAACAAGTGAACATTTAGGAAGTGCCACACATGGTGTTAAGCACTTGCATTTTCTCATGCAATTATTAGTGATAAGTCAATCCAAGTCATATACACCCATTTAGAATGGGCTATAATTGTTATATTCTTCATTACCCAGAACATAGCCTAGAAAACAAAAAATCCCAATTAAACAAGCGTCGTCAGATTAGCTGCTGCTTTAACAGGTAACATTGTGGGAACCTGGTCGCTTTCGATTAAAACGCATAAAGAGAAGCAAATCCATGGTATTTTCCGAATTCTCCCATCTTGGGTTAAGTCACGATGTCACAGCTCTTTGCTCTGTCTCAATGAAAATTGATTTGTGGCCGGTCCACTTACTGTGTGTCCCGGTTGCTTTGTTTCTAAGATCTCCAGTGACTACTGTAGCCTTTACTTTTGATACCAGATTATTTCTAATTTAGTCAGCCGGCAGGTCAGTTTTTCCACAGGAACTCAAGCTTTTCCAGCAAGTAGATTCTTTGAGAATAGCCCAAACAGAAATTGTGCTTCCGAAAATTTTCCCCTTGTGTAAAGTTGCGGTCCTGGGAGACAGGGCTTCGGGTTTTGGGTGCCAAGCCCCACTTACGGTTCAACTGCTCTTTATTTCCCATTTGAACTGGTGTTCTGCCTAGAAGTGGTCCATTTGCCGAGCAGCCCTGCTTGAAAATGGAATTACTTTCAAGTGGCCACCAGACCCTGAGAAAAATATTTCAACTCAAAATTGATTAGGTTTTGGTAATCTATGGCAATGTGTTCCCATTTAAGCACGGAGCAGGCGATCTTTCTTCTAGAACCCATTATGATTTAAAAAATGCAAGATGTCTTGCTTTACCCAACTTGTGGTTGGAAGAAATTTTCCAACTTATTAATGTCGTGTAGATCCTTGTCTCTTTGCAGACCCTCTGCCTCCCCAAAGCATTTTAAAGCTCCCTCTGTATCTGACTAGTCAATTGGCTTTCAGCCGGTCTCCCCGCTCCCACCCACCCCAACTGAGACCCTCCAAGTAACTAGAGCAAAAACACAGCGTCCTCCCCGCCAAGTCTGCACCCACATCTCTTGTTTTTCTTTCGCTCTAATCTAATCACTAATTCTTAAAGCTTGGCCAAATAGTTAAAAATGTTAAGTGCTAGCGAGGCCCTCTCCCTCCCCCTCATATCTGTCTCTGTTTATGGATTGGGCCCCGTTTCCTCCTCTTCTCCCTCAGTCCGGGGTCTTCAGGTCAGAACACTGTAAATACACACAGCTCTGGCCCAACCCATAAATCTGAGCAAAGGGCAGGCTTATATATTCAGATAAGCGCCGGTGGGGGCGGGGGCGTGGAAGGATGGAGAGCCAGCAGAATCTGAGGCTCTGCCGCCCTGTTCAGAGAAGAGAACTGAAAGGAAGAGAATCTTGAGTAGGGAAGGAAAAAAGAGTTTCTTCTCGGAACATCTCTCCTCATTTCTAAGGCCTGAGGTTGGCACTGCCTCTTTAAAAATTAAAAAATAATTTTTTTAAACTTTTTTCACGTAGCTTATACTCACATCCTTTCTGAACATATTATCTTAGAGGCAATCAAATGAAGCAATATATTTCAATTATTTCCAATGTCCTTTCTTCTTCCTAAGTCTATTGGTTTGTGCACTGAACATTGTATATGTGGGGCAGGGTGTGTGTGTGTGTGTGTGTGTGAGAGAGAGAGATGTGAATTATTAGAGTCCTTTTACCAGAAATTCTATTCTACTCTAATTTTTCAAACCTAAGGTCTTTGGCTAAATAACCATGCTGTTAGTCACCACCTCGAATCCCCAAATAAAATATGTCTGAAGGAGTTAGGAGTGACAAAGCGATAAATTCATGCTTACATATCCTTCCTTTGAAGCTTCGACTTCATTTCCAAGTTCACGTCTTTTCTGTTGGATTTTTAGACCTCAGAGTCTTCTGTGACTCCTGAAAGACCATCTTTCTTGGAAGATGTGTCCTTTGTGAACACAGATACTGTCGCAATGGAAAATCTTGAGCAAAGCGGCCACGGCTGAGAACAGACTTTCCCCCATTCCTCCGCCCTGAGTCTGCCTTAGAGGCGACGAACCACACCGCAAATTTGCCTTAGTCATTGAAGACGCTGGGAAATGTGGCACTGGCTTTGTTTTCAATCCATATTTTGTATTTTATCATGTATATATACAGAATTTTAATCTAATTTCTCTAGGCTATTCTTTTGGCAAATGGAGAACTGATTTTTGTTTTGTTTTTAAGGTTAATTCACGTTCCTCAAAAGGAGCTTCTTGGGTTGAAAAATGAGTGAAAATTCCTCGTAGGTAAGAGGATTTTATGGGGAAAACTGCCAAAAGAGTAATTGGGCTGGCTGCCCACAGAGTTTTCCACATTCTAGCCTCACCTTCCACAAACCCCTTACATGGTAATAATAGTAACAGTGAGTAATTTATTGAGCACTTACTTTTGGAAAGCAACCTACTAGGGGCTTCAGCTACATATTCATTTTGATCCTTACAACAACGTGGCAAATCAAGTATTGCCGTCTCCATTTATAAATGAAAGGCTCTGGTTGGAAAAGTGAAGAAACATCTCCCAGAACATACGTTTCAGCTCAGAATTTGAACGTGGAGTCTGGCTCAAGAACTCTCTCCTCTGAGCTGCCTCTCATGGGTTCTGTGCCTCCAGGATGTGGGTCTTGGGTGCAATGGTGTCTATTTTGCAGAACATTCGGGGTCTGGGTTGACTTCCTCCCACCCACCCCTCTGCTGAAGTCTAGTTCCGGCATTTTCTCCAACAGCCCTCTGGGGTCACGGCCTGGCTCTCACAGGCCTCTTTGATTTCTGTGAATTCATTGATTCCTCACCCGACCTGCTTCCTCTCTGTGATCCGCGTGGTGTATCCTAGAAGAATCGCCTGCTCTGACCTGTAATTCAAGCTCCAGGCTCCAGCTGTCTTGACTGTCTCCCTTCCCCCCTACCGCGACCATCCGGGACCATCCGCCGGCCTGGGAGGGCAGTGACACGTGCAGGGCGTTACTGTCCCTCTAGCTGGGTTTGAATCCTGCCTCCCCTGTTTACTAGCCGTGCAGCATCGGACAGGGTGCTTTCCTCCTCTGTGCCTTGATTTTCTTTTTTTTAATTGAAGTATAGTTGGTTTACAATGTTGTGTTAATTTCAGGTGTACAGCATAGTGATTCAGTCATACACATATATGTGTATTCCTTTCCATATTCTTTTTTGTTATAGGTTTTTACAAGATATTGAATATAGTTCCCTGTGCTGTGCAGTAGGATCTTGTTGTTTATCTATTTTATATATAGTAATGTGTATCTGCAAATCTCGAACTCCCTGTTTATCCCTTCACCCTCCTCCTTCCCCACTGGTAACCATAAGTTTGTTTTCTATGTCTATGAGTCTGTCTCTGTTTTGTAAATAAGTTCATTTGTGGCCCTTTCCCCCACTTAGATTCCACACATAAGTGATATCAAATGGTTTTTCTTTCTCTTTCTGCCTTACTTCAGTTAGAATGACGATCTCCAGGTCCATCCATGTTGCAGCAAATGAAACTATTTTACTCTTTGATTTTTTAAATTGAAGTATAGTTAATTTACAATGTTGTGTTAATTTCCAGGGTACAGTATAGTGATTCATTTATACATATATATATATTCCTTTTCATATTCTTTTTCATTATAATGCTGTGCCTTGATTTTCTCATCTGTAAAATGGGGTCTGAAATACTACTTGTTTCAGAAGGTAGCCTAGTTCAGACTCCTGGTACTGCTCGATAGGACTGTTACAATGGCCTTCAGCTGGTTTCTCTCCCATCTGTAATGCAGCCTCCTTGCTTCACCAGCGTTATTATTATAAAACAATAACCATGATACTCTCCTGCTTCAAAATCTTTCAAGTCTCTTTGTTGCCCTCAAGCCTACCTATTGAGTCGGGCAAAGGCCTTCAGAGTCCCCTGCCAACTGGCCTTCCCAGGGTCATTTTTGACCACGTCCCCCCAAGCAATTTGCACTCTGGCAGCAAAAAATTACACATGTGACATGCTTTTGTGCCTCCAGACTTTTGGCTGTGCTGTGCCCCCTACCAGGAATGCCCTTCCTTTCCGTCCCCATCTAGTGATGGACACTTACCCTGTATGGCTCAGTTCAAAAGTCACCTATTTTTTAGTGTGGCATAAATCATATCGGTCACTTGTGGTGTGTATTCCTCTGTTTTAGAACCTGACATGTTGAATGGTAACCATATGCACTGCATTATATGCATGGTAAATGCGAGGTGGTGGACTCCTCTGGGCAGTGACTGTGTGTTTTTCAACTTGATATCTTTTGTCCTAGGACCTCACAAATAGTGGGAGACCCCCAAATTTAGATTAATATATAAAACGCCACTCCTCACTCTTAAAAAATGACTTCAAGTAAATGTGATTCAAATGCCTATCACGCTGTTAACTAGTTGAATTAACTCTCGTTAGCTTAAGATGAGAAAGACTTGTTAAAAGTTAAATAAAAAGCTCAAGCGTAATTGTATTGTTCTTAGTGTGTCCAGAATGAAGCCGTCAAGTTTTTTCCTAGTACACGTGGTAAATGTTACATTTTTCTGACACCTGAAGAAAGTCTGATAATGGAAATTCTTTAGAGTATCAGTGAGATCTCTATATTTGATACAGTTCTTTAGGAAAGGAGCCAGTTTTTCCCTTATCTGCCTTTACTCCAAGCATAGTATTTCATGGGGGGCAGGATATTAGTGACTACGACCACAGGCGTGGGAATAAGAGTGCCTGGGTTTAAATCCTTGAGCTGAAACCTGCCAGCTGCGGAACTGTTGGGAACAATTCTCTCGGAGCTTGTTCTCTCACCTGTAAAATGAACATCATAGTCACATGTACCACCAACGATGGTTGTGAGCATCCAATGAGTTAGCACATCTAAGCACTTAGATGGATGTCTGATTTACAGTAAATGCTCAGTGAGTATGTCCTGGTTCTCAGTTCGTGTTTACAAGAGAGGCGAGCCTGGGATCCTGGGAGAAGGACTAGGGCTGTTTCCTCACCAGGGAACAGCACAAGAGCCGGGAGCTCCCGGAGAGATGGTGAGTTGGCCTGTTCACCTGTGCAAGGACCACTTCTCTCTTCAGACATGATTCCAGCGCTTGAGCAGTTTAGCGTTTCATTTTGTCATTTGACACATGGAGCTAAATCTAGGAACAAATCTTACTTTTAATTTAGCCGTTAGGACAGTTGGCTTCAGAATTATTCTGCCTGGGGCCTGGGTCCAAATCCTAGCTCTGTGACATCTTGGTTGAGTGACCTGGGGCAAATGCTTTCCTTTCTGTAAGTGTAAGTTTTCTCATCTGGCAAATGAGGGGGAAAAAGAATTTTAACATTCTACCTGTTGTGAAAATTAATGAATTCAGCAATGAATTAAATGGAGACAAAACTGCTTGACATGCTTATCACAGTGCCTGTCACACAGTGAGTGCTTAATACGTGTTAATTGCTCTTTTCTTGTTGAAAGTATTATTGTAATGTTTTTACTATACGGCGTGCTTTTATTCATTTACTTTATTGTGAAATATACCTATATGAGAGTGTATAAACAGTTATGTAGATGAAAAAAAAATAAGGTGAACACCTGTGTGCTTACCACCCCAGATTAAAAACCAAAATGGTACCCATTCCAAAGTGTCTCCTGGAAGCCTCCTTCCCCCCCCAGCAGGTTACTGCTCTCCTGACCTTGAGATCATCATATGCTTTCTTCACTTCATCATTTTAGTTCTTATAATTGTACCACTTAACAATATGTTACTTGGTTTTATCTTTTAGGAATTTGATATTAATGGAATGGTGGTATATGCATCCTCTGTGTGTTGCTTTTTTTATTCGGCAGATGCAACTGGATTGATGTGTGTAGCTTTAGTTCAGTCAGTTTCACTGGTGTATAGCATTTTATTACAGCAGACCCCACAGTTAATTTTGTAATTTGTTTTTCTACTGATTGGCATCTGGACTGTTATTGATCGATTGCTATTACAAACACTGCTGCAGAGAACATTCTTGTATATTTGCCCTGGTGCAGATGAGAAAGGCTGAAAGACTCTCCCTAGGAAGTTAAATCTAGGAGGTGAAGTTGTAGGACACGTGAATATTCAAGTTTCCTAAGTAGTGGGACGCTTCTGAGTAGCAGCACACGAAGAAGTTTTTGACAGAAGATTATCACATACACATTTTGGGTCCTCATAAAAATGACTCTAGGTGGTAGTCAGTCTCTAAGATTGCATGGTTTCAATATAAAGTCCCAATGACCTCCTTCTTATGGTCTTCACACTCTCGTATGGTCCTCTCCCACACCGTACCAAGGTTGGTAGTTGTGACCAAGAGAATATGGCAAACATGATGGTATGGGTTACAAAAGACAGTAGCCTCTGTTGGTGGCATCCTCTCTCTCTCTGCCTCTTTTAGCTCTCTCACCCTGCCTTACTGAGCATCTCTCTGGAGAGGCCAGTAAGGTGAGGAACAGAGACCGCTAGCCAACAGCCAATTGGAAATTGTGGTCTACCAGTAACCATGTGAGTAAGCCCAGAAGTGAATTTTCAAGCCCCTCAGGTCTTGAGATGACTGTAGGTTGACTGTAGGTTGATAGCTTAACTAGAATTTCATAGGAGACCCTGAATTAGAATTGCCTAGGTACCTTGCACCTGGGTATCTGATGCACAGAAATGATGTGAGATTGTAAATATTTGTTGCCTTAGGCTAAGTTTTGGAATAATTTATTATTCAGTAAAGATAACTAATACATACTGCATTAAAAGGCATTAAAAACTTCCCAGTTCCATGAAGGAATCTGTGTGAAATAAAGCATCATGTTAAAACAAACTTGAAAATAGGTAACAGAAAAGTTGATGCATTAACAAGTATAAGTTGGTCATGTTAAAAAGCACCGTAAGGGTGGGAGACAAGGATAATTTGCGATTTGGAACCTGCAGAAACATGTTCAAGTGTCTTCAAATTTTTAATTTTATCTTTATTATTATGAGCGTCCTTTTATGTATGTATAATGCAAAACATTCATTATAATAGCAAAATAATAGGTGCCATCTAACTATACATAAAAAATCATTAAATAAGTAGTATATCCATTCACTAGCATATTATAAAGCCATGAAAAGAAATCTGTGTGTAAGTAGCGACACGCTCCCAACATAAAGCTAAGCGCAAAGAGCAGAATGTACCATATGACCAGTATAAAACCAACTCTACAGTGACTCAAAGGTGGAAGTGAGCATCTTTCAGTTGGATTACGTAGGCTTTTGTTGTTTTCAATAAACTTTTCCTGGACGGTGTAAGTTGTGTCTAATGAACATGTGTTATTACTTTTATTATTAGAAAAATGTATTTAACACCAGAAGAAATTATTCTTAATTTCGTCTTAACATGACAAAGAAATGAAGATGGCAAACTTCTACCTTCAAATTGGAAGATCAAATAGGTACCAGCAGCAGAGTGTTTGTAAAAGGTTCTGGATGCAGCTTCAGGTTGGCTGGCTTCCCTCTACATCATCTTGGTCTTTGGACACAGTCAAGATTTTCTGTCTTGTTATAATTGATGATCTTGTTGATTTCTCTTATATAAATAAATGTGATCTATTTGTTGTTTTGTTGACAGCAGAGCTTCCAGAGAGAGAATCTGAGGATAAATTCACAGAATAGTCTAAAGCTTCATGTGACTATAGTTTAAATTCTTCAGTGTCTGCTCATGAAGTTGAGAGGGGGAAGAAAGGGGTCGCTGAGATTTCATGGGGTGGGGGGCAATGTGGAGGTGAGGGCTGCCTAAGACCTTTTAAAACTGGGAAGTGTGTTTATCTAAGGCAGCCAACGGTGGCATAGTTGAATGGGGTCTAGAGTCATCATCTGAAAAACGGTACTTCGTAACAGAGTAACTATGAATATTTATTTTTGATATTAGTAAAAAAGAAAACAATCTTTAAACTGAAGTATCTGAATAGGTTCAAAATACATTTTATTCTTAATATTCCCTTTATAAAATATTTTTGCCCATTAAATTAAACTTGGAAAGACCCTGAAATACAGTATTTTTAATTTTCACTTTTTATTTATTTTAATTTTATTTTGGGGGGGAGGGAGGTAATTAGGTTTATTTATTTAGTTTTAGAGGAGGTACTGGGGATTGAACCCAGGACCCTGTGCATGCTAAGCATGTGCTCTACCACCTGAGCTATATCCTCCCCGTTGCTGAAATAGTATTTAATTTGAAAGAATGAACCAAATTCCCTTCACTTAAGGAGAACCATTTCAACATTTCAGCATATTTATTCTGATATATATAGTCTCTGTGCCTTTATCTACCCTTCATGCCTTATTGTTCCTGCACCGACCCTTCCAGGACATCAGCTCTGTGTGGATAGTGGCTACGTCTTTCTAAGTTACCATCCTTCCCTCTGTCCTTGGAGCAGAGTAGGTACTTAATAAACACTTGTGGAATGGCTGAATGGTATGGACTATACAAGGCAAAAACAAGAGCCAGGGGTAGAAAAATAAGTTAAAACAAAGTTCTATGCCAGTTGAGATTATCAACAATTTGGAGTGCTGGTGTCCAGTTGTTCCTGGTACCAGGTGTCCTCAAGGGCAGATTCCCAAGTGCCACCTGAGGGTCCTAGGGCCTGTGCCAGGTGGAAGTTCGTGGGAGCTTTCCGTGAGGGTGTGCAGTCAGTGCCAAGGATAGAGACCAAAGCTAGTTTTCCGAACTCCAGTGGGGCAACCAAGAAGAGGGGGGAGTAGGACTGAAGCTTCACAATTAGAAGTGAATCATCATGGCTTCTGGGTTTATTTGAACCATCTAATACTGAATCACATTTGCTTCTCAAAACAAGGAACTATTTTGTTGTATCATGTACAAAATACTGGTCACAAACATTTCAGGCAACAATAAGGAAAAAATATTACCAGTCAAGGCAAGCCCTGGAAATTTATAATTTGGTGACTTCATAAAGGTCTGATCATTCCAACATCACATTTCCAAGCTTTATGTTATTAAGCACTCCATTTATAGGGAATTGTGTGGCCAGAATTTATTGCTTGTTTAGATTTTTCCAGTGCCCTCATCACTGAGGTCCCTGGTTGCATATGTAGAAGATTAAGAGATACAATAAACTGAAAAGAATAGACCGAGCGACACATACTAGATCTGGGCCAAACTAAATAAATATGTCTCCTTCTAAGTCCTGGAGTTCAACAAGAACAAAAACAAATTCTGACACATAAAATAAGTAAAATTTTCATAAGGAAGAGATTCAGCCTTAATTTGATCTGAGTTTGCCCAAGTTAAGCAGCTGTTTAATCTAACAGCCGATATTCATAATTATTTTCTATTTTCCAATTATACTTTTGAAAATCACACGGGCCACGAGGAAGCACAACCAAGACATTAAAAGTGAAATTTCCCAAGGTGTGAATGAAGGCCAGGGCATGTGTTTTCAACTCAGAACAAATGATTTTAAAATCCTGTTTGCATCTGCTATTCACAAAGTCTAAATACAGCTAAATGCAACTCTTCCCCATGTCAGGTTAAAAGCCAAATTCCCTGGATGTTATTTCTAGTTGTATGACGGGGGTGGATTACACAATCTCTTCGGGCCTCAGTTTTCTCACCTGTAAAATGGGCACAATAATAGCATCCTTCTCCTTGGGGTGTTGTGAGAACCTCAAGAGTTAATGCATGTAGTGGGCACATGATAAGCACTATAGAAATATTAGCTGTAGTTATTACTGAACAATGAAACAAAACTCCTGCCTGTTGTTATGTATGGTCTCATCTTCTTTTGTCGTGACGAGAGAACACCCTTGTCCACCTCTGCAACTTTGGTCTTTCATACTCATTCTTATCTTAGATTTCTCCATTTCTCCTTTCATCCAAGAATACTTCTCTTGCTCTTCTCTTGGACAAATCTGATCAATTTTGACTTACCCCTTATAAAGTAATAGGCTAGGGCCAGGAAATGGTTCAAGGCTCATTCCCCTGGAAATCAGTGTTTTTGTGTATTTCCTGACTTTCGAGAATTAGCAAGAGCCCTTGAGAAGACCTGATGCGCGTTAGAAATCTCTAAGAAAATAAGAGCCATCTCTGCAAATCCTACTCGTCTTAAACTAAACCTTTTGAAAATGTTTGGTCCCGGGGCGCAGTGACTGAGTATCTCATGGGGCTCTCGTTCTTCAAAATGGAGAGAATAGAAGAAAAATTCTATGTGAGGATCCTTGTTGACACGACTGGGTGTCAAGAAAGTGAGTCCAGTTGTTACTTCCGGGAGATCTGAAGGGAGAAACCAGTGCTTCTGTCCTGCAGTGGGTGGGGGTCTATGGGATCAGCAGGAACCCACCCCTGGCTTCCACCCGTGATGGGAGGCTCTGTCCCGTGGCCAGTCACTTCAGCTCCCCAGCCCCAGCTGTCTCGGCACCATTCTACCAGCTGAACCACCATGGCAGCGTCACAGCAGGGACCTGGTCCAGGGGGCTTTGTGGGGTCTCACCCAACTCTCGAGTCTATGACTCAGGTTATCTGTTCTACCGTAAGGCCGTTGTAACGTCTCCTCCCGATTGCAACCTCTTTAAAATCTAGCTCTCACACAAAGAAACCTTCTGCCAGGGACTTAACTTCTGGATTCCTTTGCCTTCAGCTGTGACACTGGAAAGCTTCTTGAAAAGAACCATTCCTCTGCTCCCATGCAAGGCTATAGTCAAGTCATCTTTCTAAATGCCATTCGGATCGGGTTACTTCCCTGTGGAAAATCCTTCAATGGCTCGTCTGTGTTTGGAGTACTGTAGCCGTGTGTGCATGGTGTTCAGACCCTATGTGTGGGCCCATGCTGGGCTCTGGCCCTAACAAGCTCGATGCTTCCCTCATTTGTCATCCCCTCCCTTCCCCATGGCTTGCCTTTGGATGGAGTCTTTCCTGTGAACTTAACATGCACCTTTGCTTTCTCTGCTTGGCTAAATCCTTCCCCTCCTATACATTCAACTCAGGCCTCATCCTCTGGGAAACCTGTCCTGACTCTCGAAGGGGGACAAGACAGCCATCGTCTGAGCCATCTGACCCTCGTCATGTCCCTCTTGTGGCACTGGCCACACCATATCATACCTCCCTTTCAGTCTTCCTGTTGCCCACTGGTCTGGAAGCTTCTGCACACAGACACTGGATCTTGTATTTTGGCAACTCCTGCACCCCACCCAGAGTCTGGTTATGGTAACAGGGCCAGTAAATGCTTACTGAGTAAGTAAATGAATGAAGCCTGAATTTGACAAGATCTTCCCTGTGGTGATTAGGGATGGCATAAACCTAGTGGAGATTATAATTAGGTATTTATAGCTGGTGGAAAACTTTTCCCAAAGAATTTAGAGTGGGCCGGCCTCAATCAGACAATGAATGTGTAGTGATTTATAAGAATTAGACAGGGTGAGAGGTAAGATGCTGAGGCTGCTGAACTTGGGGAGGATGTCTTCAGTAGGTAACATGTCCAGGTGATTCACCTTTGAAAATGATGTGGTGTAAAATTCAGCTGTTTGGGCTCAGCTGTTCATTAAACTAATACCAACTGTGGGAGAAGAACTTGTCTGGAAATGACCCCAAATGAACTAAGAATGTGATGGGAGCTGCCTAAATTATTTTTTTATTATTATTATTATTATTATTATTATTATTATTATTATTATTATTATTAGCCACTGTGTATTGCATGCCTACTATCTGTTGGGCACTTCCATCAGATGCTTTTAATTCATAACCTCATTTATTGAACCCCACAGCATCTCTATGACACAGGTCATATTAACCCTATTTTGTGAATGAGGAGACTGAGGCTAAGGGAGGTTGAACAGCGTGCCTGAGGTCATACAGCTTGGGAGAGGCAGCTCCGATAGGGCGACCTCAAAGGCCACAGGTAAAGGAGGGGCAGCCACACTGACTTTGCACTGTTGCTCCGTGAGGGGAAAGGAGGGGTTCCATGCTGAGAGCTTATTTTCAGATGGTTATGGACAAACTGGAGCGCTTTTCCAGCGGGGAGGCTGATGAGAACTTATAGGTGACAATTAATCACAACTTAGTCTTCTCAGGTTTCTGATTCACCTGAGAAATACACGTCGGCTTTCTCAGAAAGAACTTGAGCCATGGTCCTGTACCCCAAGCCAAACACTCAGTTGAGCTTCCAGAACCATGGGCCTCCCTTGACCTGGAAGGCACCGAGCTTGTGTACGCGGTAAGCTCACCCCAGGCAGGGAGAAAGTCAGACTATGCAGGCAGGTGGTTCTGCAGAACCAGCCCCGTCTGGGCTCAGCCAGGCACGCTCAGTCACGCTCAGTCACATCTCCTGGATTCAACAATCAGGCCAGCAGCCAGTGTGACTCTCAATCTTCCCAGAGAAACATAAAACCAGGAAATAAAGTCCCTGTCCCTAGCAGTGGTCTGAATGCTAACTGACATATCAGAGGATTGCACAGAGTGAAAGGATGTGACTGGTACTTGCATGCGTCACCTGGGCTGGACAACAGTGTCCAGTTATTTGCTTGAACACCAGTCTAGGTGTTGCTGTGAAGGTTTTTTTCTTTTTTCAGATGTGATTAAAATTTCAATCAGTTGACTCTGAGGAAAGCAAATTACCCTCCCTCATATGGGTGGGCCTCACCTAATCAGTTGAATATCCTAAAAGCAAAGCTGGGGGGCTCCCTAAGAAGAGATTCTCCTCAAGACAGCAACATCAACTCTGACCGGAATTTCCAGCCTGCCTGACAGACCAGAGCCTTGCCAGTTTCCACCATTGCATGAACCAATTTCTTAAAACCAATCTTTCTCTCAATCTCTAGTGTATGTGTATGTATATGTATGTATATGTATATGTGTGTGAGTGTGTGTGTGTGTATATATATACATATATATATATATATACACACATATATATATTGGTTCTTTTATTGGTTCTGGAGAACCCTGCTCAGACAACTGGGAATGTTGATTCTGTAGCTGAAGAGTTAGGGTGATGGCCATGAGAGCTGGGTTCAAGTTTCCAGTGAGTTCCCATAGGATGAACTGTTGGCTTTACTCAACATATTGCATCACTGTGGACTATCTTGAGATGCTTGAGCATCTGAAATGGTTCAAATAGTGCCAATGGCTCTTGTCAGTGGTGCTCTGGAAAGATGCTTACATTATGAGAAAGCTGAATCGGATGCTGGCTGTGAAGGGGCACTTCAGACTATTTGGAGGGCAGTAACATTATCTTATGCTTCTGTTGAATAATGATAATATGATTCTCCCCCACCCCCCAACACACATTTTAACATTTGTGAGATTCTTTCATGTCTATTAATTTATTGGTTTTCTCAGAGTGCCTAGCACATAACTGGGTAATTATGGAATTGCATTGAGAGGATAATAATGGCAAATTAAGAGAACCAAATTTCCACTTTAACCTGTATTTCTCTCTTTTCTTCACTATGCTTTGTCCTTGTGTATTTCTTTTAAAGTACTCATTTTTTAGGACCAGCATATTGGTAATATTCTATTATTACTTGTTTATTTAATTATAAATTAAAATGCATAGCTCACAGGATTTCTGACCAGAACTAAGCAAGAAATTAAAATACAAATGAGAAAATAACCTAATTTGGAAGTAGTATTTGTCTGAAATCAATTATATTATTTTCATAGGAAACACAGTTGGAAGGAAAAATCGGCCTGTTAAATTCATCCAAAAGAATAAAAGAGCTATTGGAATATAAAAAAGGACTGCCTCTTTAAATGTTAATGAACACCAGCTTTATCATTTCTAGAGAAGAGGATTTTGCTTTTGGTTTTCCTCTTTCAGTGAAACATGTTACTGCCTCCTGCCTGGCAAAGGGACAAGAGCTTGAACCTGAGACTGGAGACCATACAGTAGCTGGTCTATTTCAAGCCAATTCCATCCCCTTTCCCTCCCATGCTTACGTTCTCCCTTTTTCTCCTTGAATTATCCTGTGCACATTCTTGGTCTTACCTGTGTCTATGCAGCCACCCTGACCTGCCCTGCTAGTTAAGTCTACACTCTCTGAGGACGAGAGGAGCATTTTTGGAGACCTGACACTAGTCCCCCCATTCAGATCCCCTTGCTGGGCAGAAGTAATTAGAGGAACTCAGAGGCTGAGGGTATCAGCCAGCCTTGCTCTTGATATTTCATGTTGAAGACAACGCTAGCAAACTAGCCTGGCACTGAGGTGACCGACGTCCCTTCTTTGGAAGGGATGTTCAGCATGGGGACGGCTCCCCCGTTGGAGCCAACATTCCCTCAGACGTAGTTGCCAGCAGAGGTTTTCCCAGTGTGGTCCCTGGGCGTGCAGCATCAGCATCACTTGGGAACTTGTCAGAAATGCAAATTCTCAGGTCCCACCCCAGCATCTCCGGGGACAGGGCCCAGCAATCTGTTCAACAAGCCTTCAGGGAATTCTGATGCACTGAGAATGCACTGAGAACTACTGGCTTACAGCACTTCAGCTCCTCACAAACTCAGACAGGTGAACTTTTGGAGTTTTCAAAATCAGATGAAAATCACATTTTCATGGAGTCGCTGTGGTCCCATTAAAACACAGTGAGAGTGTGTGTGTATTTGTGTGGCATTTGGGGATAGGTGTGATAATAGAGAAGGCCCAGTTCACAGAGCTCTGGCCTCCTGACTGCAGAGACCCAAGGAACAGGGCAGAGGTCACTTCCAAGGACTGTCTTCCCCAGTCCTTGTAGACCTGAATCCCTGGAAAACCTTCACTCTAGATCTGCAGAGCCAGGATGGCCCAGCCTGAGCCTTGGCACAGAATGACCCCAGGGTGTCCAAACTGAGGGTGAGATGGGTGGCCGGCTTGGCTGGGACTGGGTACACTGATATTTTCCTGTCCCCTTCCTGTCAAGAAGGACTGGGTCTGAGCCTGGAGATCTGAGCAGGAGTCCCAGACCTGCTTCTATTGGACTGTGTGACCTTGGGCAAGTCTCATCTTCTTTGGGCTGTCTGTGGGAGAATTGCTGGGATGGGTAGCCACGTGGGGGTGGGGAGACATGACGGCGCTGACCACACAGGTCTCCTCGTGCCCCCTTACCAACTGCGGTGCATGCGCATTGAAGGCTTTAGCAGAAGATATTCTCCTACTAAGGACCTCTCCTACTGTAAAAAAAAAAAGAGGTTTATGAAGTGAGTGACATCTACGCTCACTTCTGGCTTAAAAAATCAACAGGCAGGCCTAGGTGGGGTGTCTCAACTTTGAAGCCCTGTGGTGACTGGGTTTCCCCATTGTTTCAAAGGTCTGGAGCCCCTCTCTGAAGATTTGTTTTCTGGTGGTGGGCTTAGCAAATCCGTTTTTTTCCCCCCCTTAATCTGCTTTCTTTTACAAAGAACAAATGCCCCCAAGTACAATTTGCACCCAGATTACTAGACTCTCCACTTAAACATTACCAAAAGCTATAATTTAGAAATTCTTTTATCTCTCCCAAGCTAATAGCAGTTTTGCATGTCTTCATATATTGTTTTCATCTGTTTCCTCAGCCCCCTCCCCTGTGGTTATTGTCTCTGGAATATGTGCTGGCTTGTTTAATTGTAGTGCTGAATTGGGGATACGGAAAAGATTACTCCTAATTATATTACTTATATATTGAAATGTAATATTTTTACACGGACCTTCTGTGCTGGGAACCGTATGCTCTTTTGTGAGGACACTGGACTGTGTAGGATCCAAAGCAATCCTACGAGCTATTCTGCAGTATCTCCAGATCAACTTTTCAAATACCTCCCTCATTGTGAAACATTCACCCCAGCCTGGTAACCAACCAGTTTAGTGCTGTTTTTCTCCAACTCAATGAACCCGTTAAGTCTTCTTCTAAAACAGTCACCGCAGGGCCTTACAAAGATTTCCTTCCCCAGGAGACTAATGCATATTGAATTGAGTTGATGGGACATTTTCGCCCTCGTTGGCCTGCAGATTACTGTCCTATCTAGTAAGCTGCACCAGGTGTGACCACAGCCCACATGACTAAAAAATACAGAATGCCCATCAAGAATAGAAAATACAGCCTTGGTCAAGCTATTACCAAGAAGAAAAAGTATTGCAGCTCATCGAGTTTCTCACTTTGTCAATAAACCTAGCAAGCTCGACATTCTCTGTAATTCTTTGTGCCTGCTGGTGGGTCAGGAGATGCAAGTCCCCAGCTTTGAATGTTGTCCTGGGGCCCAGACCCCACAAGCTGCCCTGTTCAGTTTTTATGGATTTCAAGATGGTGACAAGAGAGCACAAAGCCAAGCGCAGGGCCCTTGGGAGCTCAGTGCCCTGTGTGACCTCACAGTCTCCCTTTTGTGCCACCAGCCTGGGTTCAAGGAGAGACCCAGCTTAGGAGGAGGAAGCATCCGTGTCCTCGCCTTCCTCCCTGGGCCCTAGTCTGTCAGGTTTGTCTCTGATTCTCCCAGTTCAGTCCTCCCAGCTCAGTTCACTGCCTCCTTCCTTCCACATTTGCGCCACATTTGAGACCATCTCTAAGCAACACGTATGTGGTGTTGCCAAGTAAACCACGCTGCCATCGAGTCCCCGAAGGCCGGATGAAAGGCCTCAGAGGAGAGGCTGACTAACGGGTCCCCATGAAGGCTGCTCTGCTCCCTCTGAGGTCACCGGTTTACAGACTGTAAACCTCACCTCCAACTATGGAGTTTTCTCTCCCTCAGAGTCTAGTAAAATCCTTCTAACTCTTTTTAAATGTTCCAAGGCTTTTTTTTTTTTTTTGCTTTTCCAAATAATAATTATCAATGCCTTCCCGGTGCCTTAGGTCTTTCCCTCCTAGTCTTTCCTATAAATACTTCCCTTTACTCTGCTGCCACAATATTACAGCTGTATGTAGTAGTCAGAGCTTTGCAGCTATCTGGTTTTCTTTATCCTTCCATTCTCAAAGCATTCCAAGTCTCGCTCTATTGGTGTTTATGTGATGGTTCTAATAAGTTTTTTTTTTTTGTTTTTGCAAAGGAACTCACAGTTGGCCTAGGGATAACTTGATCCCAAATGGAACCGTTTGGAAATCGCTGCCTCTAAGCCATAGTGCTACATACCCTGCAAAGTGAGAGGTACTTTTCTAGATTATTCCTGCTAGCAGTCCTTGCCTAATGACGTTTCCAGACATTAGCGAATGGGGAGTTCAATTAAAATAATTCATGTATCAGGTTTGGGACTTCCGAGTTAACTCACCCAGGAAAAGCTGACGTACGCATTGAAAGTGAAAATAAAATCCCAGGACCATGACGACCACTGCTCTGGGTTCTGTTCAGTGCTGCCAGTTGTCTGTCTGGAGTTTCCGTTTGGGTAAGTGGGGCCTTAATTCCTCTTGCTGACGGAGTGTGGTAATGATCGCGGACCTATGAAGAAGAATAAGAAGAACTGGGTCTACTTCTGTAATTCTTTGGCCATTAATTCCTATGTGACTTTGGCCAGATCCCCAGACCACTGACTTCCACACTTTAAAAATGATAATTGTATTTGTTGTAATGGATTATTTTTTCTTTACCAGGAGGTGAGTTACATGGATGGAGAAAATAGCACGGAGAGTGTGTATAAATGTTTGAAAGAAAATATCTGTCCTTCAGCTGTGATTTTTCCCCTCTCTAGATCTTACTGGGTTTCTCACTTACTTCTTTTGTTCTTTTGAAGTACAAGATAGTGGGTGTCCCAGCTTTGAATTTTCTCAGTGCCGAAGCAAATGTGGACTTAGGATTTTATTGAAGTGTAGTTGATTTACAATATTAGTTTCAGGTGTACAGCAAAGTGATTCAGTTCTATATATATGTATATGTATACATATGTATATGTATATATATATATTCAGATTCTTTTCCATTACAGCTCATTACAAGAAATTGAATATAGTTCCTTGTGCTATATAGTAGGTCCTTGTTTATATTTTACATACAGTAATGTGTATCTATTAATCCCAAAATCCTAATATATCCCTCCTCATCCATGGCTTCTTGAAAAAGAAGTTCCCTGGAAGCCTCTGGGGGTGAGTTCTTGGTCCGTTTACCCTCCCCTATTGTGTTGCAATTCTGGTATTAGGGTGTCTAGGTAGCACCTTGATTTATTTTTCTGGTTGAGTGTCCTTTTTTTTTTATTAATGTGTTTTAAGGGTGGGCCTGTGTGCTTAATTAAAAGTAAACTGATGGATTTGAGGCCACTGGACTAGGGACTTTTTTTTTTTAACAGATTTGATTTTACTATTATGCTTTTTAAGTTGAAGTATAGTCAGTTTACAATATTCTGTCAATTTCTGATATATAGTATAATGTTTTAGTCATATGTACATATACATATATTTGTTCTGATATTCTTTTCCATTATAGGTTACAAGATACTAAATACGATTCTCTATGCTATACAGAAGAAACTTGTTGTATATCTATTTTAAATACAGGAGTTAGTATCTGCAAATCTCGAACTCCCAATTTATCCCTTGCTACCCAGTTTCTCCCCTGGTAACCATAGTTTGTTTTCTATGTCTGGGATTTTTAAAATGGAGTTACTGGGAATTAAATCCAGGACCTGGTGCATGCTAAGCTCAGGCTTTACCACTGAGCTATTACCCTCCCTCAAGGCCACTGAATTTTTACGAAGATTGTTTTCTCATTAATTGTTATACTTCTGTTGTGATAACAACTAACAACGTTGTTATTCTTCCTCTTGGTGAAAGACATTGGAGAGAAACGTACAAAGCAGACCTTTCTGCCTTGATGTAAGTCAGCGAGCAGCTTCCTAGCCATCTCTTCTCCCCGCTTCCCCAGAACATTGGGGATCTTTAGAACCCTGCCGAGCAGAGCACCTTCTGCCAGACTAGCCTTCACCCCATCCTGCCACAAAATACATTTTGCTAAAGTGGGACGGTTTCAGTTTGTTTCACCAGAAAATAAATCTTTATTTCAAAGCTTCATAGCTTTTCATCTTTCCCACGTTCCTCTAAACACATATTCATTGGGTTTCCACGGGCTCATCAAATACTTTCTCATGGACTCTTTCCACATTATAAGAAAGATCCCTGCACTCTTCCTCTTTCTTAAGCTCTTTTATGACTTATCAAAATCCTCACTTCCTGGAAGAAAGGACTCCGTAGGGAAAGAGCATGCATGGGATCTGGAGTTTTTCAGTTCCGGTTTTACCAACTTCTGCAACTCACGAGCTGTGAAAACTTAAGCAATCGCTCCATCTCCATTTCTATACTTGCAAATGGGAATAATAAACGGCACTTTTTTCCGCAGAGAGGCGTTGAGGGTTACTTGAGATAATACATATCAGAGTTGTTTTTGGCTATTTTAAAATGTGTGTTTACTATGACTTCTCTCTGTTAACTTGTATCCTAATTTTTACTTTCATAGATTTTCCCAAGTCAGGCAAATAACACATTGCCTATTTGTAATTTTATTACTGATTCCCAAAACATGTATTTACTTTTTTTTTTTGACATTAATTGTTGGTACCAAGCCAGGTTTTGACCTTTTTTTACCCAAGGAATTTAGGGTTGGAAAAAAAAAGGAAAATTATAAAGAAGAGATTTAAGTATAGTTCAAATCCTAGAGTATGCTAATTAACACATCTGTTTGCCTTTGGAACATCTGGGAAAGCAACTACATAGTAATTCTCTAAAAAATGATTTATTTAAACATTTGTGGAAGATTCAGGTGTGTGATTTTAATTGCACAATTAATTAATTATTGGTGAGATCCTCTTATTTCTTCATAGTAATCAACTTAATAAAATTTGCATTGTAGTCTAAATTACGGCACAGAAGAAAATTAATAAATGTAATACTAGTTTTCGTTTTTATTCTGGAAGTCTGTTTAAACAATTGTTTCTGATGTTAAATAAATTTTTTCCCATTTCTTTTTTCCTTTCCTTCTGTCCTCCCTTTGACTTATGTAAACAAAACACAATAAAGACAACAATGTTATATGGAAGAACTTAAATTAAAAGTATTTAAGATGTGAAAAAGATGAAAACAAAGGAATGGACAGTAATGGCTAGAGTTATGTCTATGAATTAACCAGATAAACAAGAAAAAAAAGGTTGTTGATATTGTATATATATGTGTGTATCTGTGTTTGTTTGTTTAGAAGTAATCTGACACAGAGTTTCATTCCTTCTGACATTTTGTTGTCTCTTTGTAATTATTTATCTTTTTAGGTTAGCTATTTTCTTTTGGATTTTTACCTGATTTGAGTGAGCTTATCAATTTTCAGTTAATAAAATGTGAGTTTCACATTTTTATAATCTTGTGAGTGGTAAATGTTGTCACCTGAAGAGAACTATTTAAAAATCACATCTTCCCATCTTCCAAGAATAGGACCCGGATCCATTGAGGGTGAGACTATAGGAGACTCAGACCGTAGGGATATGACCCCCCAGTTAGAGCCCATTCCTTTGCCCTTGGTGCAGGGACAGGCTAGCGCCCTGTGTATCTCTGTCGGGGGCAGGTTCTGACAGGGCGGAGCACCAGAGACAAGCCTCACCCTTTTCAGTGTAGCTTAGAATGATGGTAAACTGAATAAGCACACTTATTCATCATGGCTAGAAGAGGTGTGTAGTTTGAAGGCAGGGCTTTGGAACCATGCAATCCCACCTCCTCTGCTGATTAGCTGCATAACCTCGACAGTTACTTAACATCTCGGAGGTTGTTTTCTCCTCATCCAGATGTGGATGATAGTATCAATTTTTCTGGGTTGCAATGATGCTTAAAGGGGTTACTGTTTACAAAGTACTTAATTTCCAGCCTGTCATCAATAAGCATCGATAAACTATCTACATGTGTATCTATCTTGATATCTAACTCTGTCTCTTAATATGCCTTCAGTTGCACATGACAGAAAAATCTGATTCAAACTTAGCCATAAAGACCAGGGACTTACTGATTCTCCCAAATGGAGAGCAAAGTTAGGCAGTCCTTGGGGTTGGTCTGTTTCACTGGTTTTAGTAATATCACCAAGGCTTACTTAAACCCCCTGCTCTCCAGCCTTCCTTTCTGGTGTTAACTTTATCCTAAGGCTTTATGGCAAGGCTTCTTGTGGTCGGAAAATGGCTGCATAAACTTCCTGGGTCTACCTGTTTCTCTCTCCAGGAAGCGTCCTAAAAGAGTGAGCAACTTCTTTTTCCAGAGCGCTCTCTGTCGTGATCCAGCTTGGTCCAGAACCATCCCAGAGCGGGAAACTATGACCAACTTAATGTCAGCTTCCTCCAAAACACAGGAAGTGTAAGGGGGAGATACGGACATCCAGAAAGGAGACAAGAAAAGAACGATGAGGACACAGCCACGGTGGGTGTCAATTACAGTGTCTCAGTTATACTGGAAGCACTGCCCGCAAACCTAGTGACTGTTGTCATTTCTCCTGCAGAGTAGTTTGGAGGCGATAGGAAGTCTCAGAGTTCAGACTTTGAGAAGCTTTGCTATTTCCGACCTCGTTAAGACCAAAACCCAGGAGTCCTAAGGTTACACTGACTCTCCTCCCACCACACTACGCTCCCCACAGCTGTTCGCGTAGTCTCATGAGACCAGGGGCGAGTCTCGCGAGAATAGGGATGAGTCTTGCGAGAATAGGGGTGAGTCTCGCGAGAACAGGGGCAAATCTCGCAAGAGTTGGGGAAAGCCTTGAGAGAAAATCGAGGGCTCTTCTCCCGAGTGTAAATGGGCCACCGCTGGCGAGAAGGGGTCCGTCTCTGGAGTTCCGGAGCAGTGAGTCATGAGTGCGGTAAGGGAGAATGTGGCGAGGGATGGAGTTCTTCGCTCGTGTGTGAAAAATAGTTTCCCCTTGAGAGAGAGAGAGGCCTGTGCTCTCCCGAGCAGTGGGCTTAGTCGCCTGAGAAAACGGGGAAATCTCTGGAAAGTTGGGTAACCCCTTGTGAGAGAATAAAGGGATATTCTCATGAGGGTGGATGGCTTACTGCTCGGGAAAGATCTTCCTGCTGTGTCACTAAGTTGACATCTGGGAAAATTGGGTGTCAGAGACTTCAAGGCGCTCCTTAAAAGTCAGGCGACTAGTGAAAGGCGGCCCCAGAGCTGGAATTCCCTCCTCAGCCTAGTGCGTTTTACATCATTCGGAGCACCAGGGGACAACCCAGTTACTAGGAATCGTATGAAAAAGTGAATGTTATTACGAACATGAATTTTTATTTCAGCATTGTTTACGATGATAAATTCCTAGCAGCAACTTAAATGTCCACCAAAGGGGAAATACGATATATTTGTAAAATTAAAAACAATGATGTGGGTCCAAAAGTGACAGGAAGCTTTATATATATGCTCACCAAGCTGCAGGTTACCTAAGAAAGCTAACATTAGAGACTATGGCCCTAATTTTTTGGGTGTGCAGCTGTGCGTGCGCGCGCATGCGTATGTTTATATGCCAGGTTAAATTTCTTTTAAGAATACTGAAGAAGCCGTAGACAGCAGTTGCCTTGGGGGAAAGAAATTGGGGATCAGATCACTACTTTTTTTCACTGATTGATTTAAAAAACTGTCATATATACTATATTTTGACATTAAAATATGACTTTCCTTTCCTGTTCTGTGCATTTCAAAAATATATATATATATATGTATGTATGACTTAAAAGACCCATCTCCTGCTTTCCAAACTTGGGTATCAGCCCAGGCTCTGTTATCTCTTAGCACTGTGATCTTAGGCAAGGACCTTCATTTCTCTGAGCCTCAGTTTCATCCTCTGTGAAATGAAGATGATGGGGTTCTCGTACAAATTGTTCGTGCACATTAACTGAAGAAAAAGTTCTGTGAAAGTGCTTTCGCAGCTCTCAAAGTCCATCCAGTTGCTAGTAATTACTACGTTACAGTATTTTTGTTGATGAAAATTTCCCTTTGCTCCTTCCCCTCCCGCCCCCCACCTCCTAGGCCACAGGGTCAGGGAGGATGCCTTTGGCATTGAACTGTAAATAATCTCCTTAGTGTTTCTGGCCAGCCGGAAGCACTGACTGGGAAGGGAGACTGAGGAGTTCAGGCATCAGGGAAGGTCTGAATCGGAGTCTGTCAGTCTTTTTTCACAACTTGGTGAGCATTTTAATTATGGCAGCTGGACTTGATTTTCCTGTATCCTAGCGCAGTTGCGGAATTGGGATTCAAAAATCCTCTCTTGATCTTCACCTGTCTAGAAAGGATGGAAACGTCTAACTCCACTTCATTTATTTGTTCAACCAGTAGTTATTGAGCACAGACTGTGCTAGGCACTGGGCTGAGTGATCAGGACAGTTCTCCTGACCCCTGGAGTTTACAGTAGAGCAGACTCAACAGATACTTATTAACTGACTATTGTGCACAGTAATCAGCATTTATTTTAAACAAAGGATAAACAGAACACTTACATCCATCCGATAACTCCTATGACTGCAGTTACAATAATATTCACGAATGTATTTCTAGCTCTTCATTGCTAATATAAAAACAGAGCACCCACCTGCCTAGAGTTTGTATATACCTATTCACTCATCCTGGCCATATTTTCCAAAAGGCATCAGTGGTCGGGGGCAGTAAGAGCCAGACGTGTGGGGGTTTTCCAAGGGTTTCATGATGTCCTCTAATTTGGGTCTGTAAGTTTGATCCTTAGAGGGCTATGAAAGTTAATAGGAGAAGCAGAACAAGTAGAGATCCCTTGGAGACAAGAAAGACATCTTTTTAGAACTCAGCATTATTGATGAGAACTCGGGGGGAACAACAGATCATGAACCAGCTTGAGATCTTCTTTCATGAAAAGATCATGATTCATATGGAGCAACTTCCTTCCCTCGCAGACCCTCCCTGCTCCCCCTCGCCCACAAACTTCCCTCCCCATAACAGAACCTCACATTAGAGAGCTTGAATTCAAATAATTCAGGTCCGGAAAAAAAGAAACCTCTTGTTAGAACACAGACATCATTGACAATTAGCCAGGATTCCAAGGAGGAAAAAAGGGAGGCCCAGGCAAGGTAAACGCATTTGTGTTTATACAGCGTGTGATGTGTTTTGAAGTTTTCCCCAAGGAGAAAGGCCCTCTCTCCTACTTCAAAAGCCATTTTCATGGTTTTGAAATTACTAGAAATTATGGGCTAACCCCCGTTCACACGTAATTTATTTCACCCAGTATCTCATGTTTTGTGATAACATGCAAATACCATATGTTGCGCTTTCTCTTTATGGATGGAGGAGAAGGGGAGGGAGAACTGGCAGAATTATCACTAGGCACTGCAGAACTGTCCACTGAAATCCACATTTACCATGGTGACGTTTACTGATTATGGCAGAGCTGATCAAGTGCAGATTTTCCTGCTGCTGAGGCTAAATTGCAAGCTGCTCATAATGCCATCAGATGCTGCGCGGTTTTCAGCCAATGAGAACGTCAGGAACGCTTCGCCCCTTCAGTGTTAACCATGGCGGCAGAGCCCCAGGCCACCATTGGTCCAGGCTCTACTGTGTTTGAACTGGAGTGACCTCACACCGCACTTTCTTGGAATAAATGTATCTCTCATTATCTCATGGGTCCCAAACACTTAAACCGGAAATCCTAATGTATTCCTAGGGACTTCATTTTTATTTTCCCTAACAGGTATTTATTTTCTTAAATGAAACAGTCAATATTTAGGAGTATATATTATTCATAAGACTGAGAGAGAGAAAAAAACAAATTATTTTTTTTTATTCTGTTTCATCGGAGGCAAAATGTTTTATGCCAGGCCAAGGGAGACAGAAACACAAAGCCATCATTCAGCTCCTAGCTGCTTCAATCATTTCTCTGCCAACAACGGTGAAAAGATGTGATTTTACAGGCAAACAGGAAGAAAAGGCTTGAACACACCTTGGGAGCGTGTTTAAGAAGTTGATTTATGTTTCACGCAGAGTGTTACACCTGCAGTTCAAGCAAAACTCAACTTGGCTGCCCCAAAGAGTCTGGTTTATTAGGTATCAAGGAGTCGCAAGAAGCGGTGTAATTAAAACCGTAATTAACTGGAAAAGGAAAGTGCCACCTGAGTTTTGAGAGGCTGTCAATTTTATTTCCATTACGGCCCTCCTGGTTCTCCTCTCGGACTCCTTCCCTTTTGCTCGATAAGAAAACAATGATTGCACACACTCTGCATACATACATGTTTTTCATGTGTGAAAACATGTCTGAATGGTTGTTTCTTATGGAAAAGGCCACACGAGTTGTATTTCAGGTTATGTTTCAGGTTTTCTAGATCAATGTCTTCGTGGGAGAAACACTCTCGAAGTGCACTGGGCAGTAGTGTAGCTTCCAGTCGCATGTGGCTGATGAGCACTAGAACTAGGGCTAGTCTGAATTCAGATGCACTGTAAGCGTACAGAACACATCAGATTTTAAAGATGTCAGTACAAAAAAAAAGTAAAATATCTCAGTGATACTTGGAATATTAATTACTTGTTGAGTAATATTATTTGGGGTATACTGAGTTGTATCAGAATATATTATTGTTTAATTTCACCTGTTGCTTTTTACTTTTTTGAGGGTGGCTACTAGGAAATTGAGAATGACATCCGTGGCTCACACGATGTTTATATTGGGCAGTTCTGGAGGTTGGGTTCCTGCATTTCCCACTGAACTATGCAAGGATTCACTGGAAATAACTTTTTCGTGTCCTTTCTGCTGTTCCTGGGGCTGTGAGGGCCGGCTGGCCTGGTGAAATCAGAGCTCTTGGTGGCAGTGCGCGTGCGTGCTGGAACACGTTATTAAGGCACATGTTTGTGATTGCCGGATTGTTCAACTCAATTTCTCAATAAAAGGCTCAAAGGGAGATGTCTGAGCAGCACAAATGGAACTTCAAGGGTCCTTTCTTCTCTAACTGCCCCTTGGCCAACAGAGGTTCAAACGCAACATGAAATACGTTAGCACCAGAACAAGGAGTGCTAGAAACTTCAAATGAAGGTACTGAAAGCCGGCTCAAAACCAACACGTGTGCCTTAATTTGTGAATTAAAGTGCTGATCAAACCATCTTTTGAAAAAGGTCAATCCATTTACATTAGACTCTGTAAACATCCGTCTCATGTTATTATGCCATCTTTCTGAATCACATCCTTTGAGGTAATAAAGAGGATTTGTAATAAAGACAATTATGTAACAGTTTTGAAGGTGTCTAGGGAAGGAGGCTTTTAGCCACTTTATATCAGAAATAGGCAAAAGTTTTAAATATCTCAGTCGTCTTCTTTTCCTTTTCAACCACTTTTAGGGTTGGGGAGCGGGTAGTCAAGATAGACAATTTGGACGCCTTCAAAAAGAAGTGCAGCATCTTATTTCCCTGTTAACAACAGAGTGGTGACAAACCTATTGATGAAAACTGCCCAAGGAAGTTAACAGACTGAAACCACCTTTCTTTGGGCAGAGGGAGAAAAAAATCAGGTCTCTTCCTAGTCTAACTCGACCTCCACTGCAGTGCACATTTTAGCTGCATCTGTTACAAAGTAAGGGTCTCTGGAATCTTCCAGTGCAGAACAGAAATATGTCGGTGCGTAATTTTGGAAGTGAGCCTGAAGTACCCTGAGCAGATGACACACGGGGCTTAGGTCCTGATTCAGCTACAAGTCAGCAGGGCACCCCAGGACCATCTGCGTTCTATAAATTACAGTAACTCCGGCACATGCGGCTTGTAAATCACCAGCGAACAGGCTTCACCTTGTGACACACGACATGAACCCTGTTGTATATTCCAATAAACTCCCATAAACCATCTGATATAAACTCTGGATTATGTTTCTTTAGGGGTTGGAATACGGAGATTTTCTTTGCTGCTCTGATTCCCCTTCTACATGCGAGCTGAATACACAGCGGTGTTCTCTTCTTTTTCCCATGCACTAGGCATTTTGCTATTTTTCAAGTCCAGAATTTTACTTAGTGGCTGACATGTGCAATTTGGTGAACTTTAAGGAGCCAATCTTTTTTTTTCTTTCGCCTTCTTTAATAAGCTTGTTTCTTTCAACACAACCGTGAATGTCAAAGTCTTGTGATTACTACACAAGGAAAATACGATTTATAAACAGCAAATTAATGACCAAATTGTCAGTAACCTACTTCACTGAATATAAATAAGCTTGCATCATAAAGGGTCGTTTCGTTAATATGGCTTTGCTGGGTTTCTGGCAGCCTACAGGGCTGCCTTCTACAATAGGTTTCTTGTGTGTCAGAGCATGAGGAGGAAGAAAAACTGGAGTGGTGATAGCATTCAGTTCATTATAGCTCGTCCATAAATGGTTCCAAGCAACTGTATTTGGTTGGAGCGCACTGTTATCCAAGTCATAATAGAGTTCTTCTATCTTTAGGGTAATCTGTTCTGAGGACTCACTTCTTAAGGCTTGTGACTTGCTGGCCCACAGGTCAAAGAAAGTGACAGAGAAATAACCCAAACATGAATGTTTCCCAAGACATCAAGCTTTGCTTCTATGAGGAAAGATGGTAAAATTTTTCCTTCTCTCTCCTTATTGTATTTTTAAAACAGTAACAACAACAAATGAAAATCTAAATTTTCATTTTTCATGGTGAAAGTACTTTTTCTCTTAAGAAATTCTTGTAGTTTACTGTCCTTGCTGCAATATTACTCATGTAACTTTTTATAGGTATATAGGTGTAAAAAAGGATAGATCATTAACTGTTTTCTGTAGAATTTCAACTGAAGGTTAAATTATGTAAACTGAATGTAAACTATGTAAAACCGAATGTAAACTGAATGTAAAATTAGTAAACTAAACGTAAAATAATTCAGAAAATTCAATAGCTTCTTAAGGAGGTAGAGGGTAAGATAATTTGGACTTAATTTTATTGGTCTGATGTGTCCTACTCAAATTTATCTGAAAGTCATGTTAAATTTCCTTGGTCATTGTCTGAAAGTGTGTTAACTGTTATTTTCTATAGTAACCCCAAAGCCTACATAAAAAAACACAGTTCTCAGCAATATATGCCTCCCTCAAGAAATAAGTCTCAGATTAAAAAAACTAACTTTACACCTCAGGGAACTAGGATGTTTTGAATCTGACATCAAAAGCAAAAGCAAAAAGCAAAAATAAACAAGTAGGACTACCTCATACTGAAAAGCTTCTGCACAACAAAGGAAACCATGAATAGAATGAAAAGGCAAGCTACTGAATGGGAAAAAATATTTACAAATCCTGTATCTGGTAAGGGGCTAACCTCCAAGATGCATAAAGAATTCATCCAACTTAATAGCCAAAAAAAAGAGACAATCTAATAAAAAATGGGCAGAAGATCTGAATAGACATTTTTCCAAAGAAGACACATAGATAGGACACATATCACAACATAGACACAACAGGTGCCTAGAACGATACTCTGCATCGTTAATCATCAGCATGATGCAAATCAAAACCACAATGAGATATCATCCAGCACTTGTTAAAAAGGTTATTATCAAAAAGACTAGAAATAAAAAGTGTTGAGGAGAATGTGGAAAAAAGGGAACTCTTGTGCATTCTTGGTGGGGATGTAAATTTGTGTAGTCACTGTGGAAAACAGTATGGAAGTTCCTCAAAAAATAAAAAATAGACCTACCATAAGATCCAGCAAGTCCACTTCTGAGTATTTATCCAAATAAAATGCAAGCATTAATTAAAAAAAAATACACCCTGTGTTCACTGCAGCATTATTTATATAGCCAAGACAGCTAAGTATCCATCAGTGGATAAATGAAGAAATTGTGGCATATATATATATATATGTATAATTCAGCCATAGAAATGAATGAAATCTTGCCATTTGTAATTACATGGATGGACCTCAAGAGCATTATGCTAAGTGAAATAAGTCAGACAGGGAAAGAAATACACCATATGCTATCTATCTCATACGTGAAATACAAAAAATATATATGCTAAAAATAAAAAGAAACAACAACCAAGCTTGTAGATACAAAGAACAGATTGGTGGTTGCCAGAGGCGAGGGTGGGGTAGTGGGGGTGAGAGGAATGGGTAAATTATTTATGTTGTTTTCTAGTTTAAGTAAATTGAACAATCTGAAAAAGAGAAAACACAGTGACATTTTTGTGATTGATTCAAGATTTATAGAAGGTTCAAATGCTCAACAGATAAAATTCTTCAAGATTGGGGGGATTCCTTGAGATACAAACATACCAAAATGTACGTGAAGTTTAAATGTTCAGGTTCTGCTGAGAAAATGTCCTTATAACTGAATGTAATTGACTTGTGGAAAAGAGGTAAAATTAAATTTTGCTAAGATACACAGCAGCACTACTGTGAATTCAAAAACACAACTTCCAGGAACTTCTAAATACATAGTACCATTCTTTAATTAATTCAGTTTATCCTGTAATTTTAGGGATTTATTGATACTGGCAGAAACATTTGCAAATAACTTAGAAAATTTCATGACATATTATGTATCTCAAAGGATTTCATTCAGTTTTTTTTTTCTGTTTCAACTGCAATCAATAATTTCTTTCAAAACCCTTAATATGCTAAGAGAGAGTATAGTTAAGATTCTTGGATATTCTCAAAAGAAGGGTTTAAGAAAACAAATATGAACAAAGATGAACTTTGTAGCATTAATGTTATTTTCTTTCATTCACATAATTTTTGAACAAGTTCTGCCTCTGTTTTCTATTACACCTAAATAGTTCTCATTTTTATTCAACATCAAGTGATATTAATGTGGGTGCATCAAATCAGAGTTTGGGTTCTTTGAACTTATCAAACTATTTTTTCCCAAATATTTGGGGTTTGATAAAACCCCAAATGCATGCTAGAAGCACTTTTTCCATTAATTATTAAACCCATGTGCATTTTGAGGAAAATTTGATCCATATGGGTTCTGGTTCATTTATGCTTTGCTCATCAAAATACTTTTTCTTCAAGTCCATGTCCAAGAAATCTTTTGAGCCCCGTTAAGTTTTTTGAGCTTTGCCAAGAACAAACAAAGTTGAACACCAAAAGATTCAAGTTGGTTTGTAACCCTATACCTATAAAGCATTAGTGGGCTCTAAACTTGGATTAAACACATGCTCTCCTCCCTAATAGGTAGTTGGATGTACCTCCAGAGGGAAGCTTGAGGCCTGGTACTGAAAGCAAAAGTCAGACATATGTCAACAAAGGCACCAGATAATCCCCAAGTGCATCACAATTATTAAAAGATTACTTTTATTGTATTTTTTGAGTACATATATGCAGAGATGTTCCATAGATTTTGAGCTGGGAAGTTAAGAGGCACTCCAAGTAGCAAATCAACAAATGTATTATTATCTAAAATGTGAAATTCTAGTATTTGGATCACAGTTTCTAAATATTGGGATTTGGTTCAAAATAAATAACTGTGGGAAACATGAAATAGCATTTGAGAGGGAAAAATGGGAGTGTTACCAATGACTTTTTTCTTAATTTTTCCCTTTTCAAGTGTCTAATTAAGAGGTAAGTTTGTTGTTGCGAGTTTTTTGTGTCTTTTGCCTTTTGTCTTTTTCTCCCCCTGGAACCAACAGACCTAGTCAAACTAAGGTCATATATATAGATAGATTAGATTTTAAAGCCCAGTCTTTGATTAGATTGGATTGTTAGTCCCCCAAATTCCAGAGGAACATATAGTCAAAATACGATTATAAATAGAATAAGCAACTTTTTTGGAGAGGTCAGAGAAAATAAAATCTTCTAAGGTTGCCGTGACTGGGGTTATGTTAAGAAAAAAGTCCTCATCTTTTCTTTTTCTTTTAGAGATTCCCTACTGAAATATGTGTAGATAATGTGATGTGATCTCTGGGATTTACTTCAAAATTCAATGGGTGGGGCATGGGGTGGATATAGCTCAGTGGTAGAGTGTGTGCTTAGCATGCACAAGGTCCTAGGTTCAATCCCCAGTACCTCTTCTAAAAATCAATCAATCGGTCACCCCCCTGGAAAAAGGAGAAAACAAACAAAAAAAGGGGAAATTATTAACTTTTTTCCATTCAGGTTCTTACTTAAATTGAGATATAATTCATTTACCACAAAATTCACCTTTTGAAGTGTACAGTTCAGTGTTTTTGGGGGGCATATTCACAAAGTTGTGTAACCATTATCACTCTATAATTCCAGAATGTTTTCATCACCCCAAAAAGATCTCTCTAACCATTAGCAGCTGCACTCATTCCCCCTCTACCAAGTTTCTGGAAACCACTAACTAGCCTTCTTGTCTCTGTGAGTTGCTTATTCTAGACATTTCAAATAAATGGAATTACACAATGGGTGGTCTTTTATATCCAGCTACTTTGATTTAGCAGAATTTTCAAGATTCATCCATGTTGTAGCATAGATCAGTATCTCATTCATTTTTATGGCTAAATTATATTCCACTGTATGTATATACAATATTTTCTTTATTCATTCGTTGTTTCTATTTTTTTGGCTATGATAAAAAAATGCTGCTATGAACATTTAGGAACAAGCTTTGTGTGGACTTATTTTAATTTTCTTGGATATATGGCTGGGAGTGGAATTGCTGAGTCACATGGTAACATTATGCTCAACTTTTTGCAGAAGTGACAAACTTTTCTAAAGTGGCAGTAGCATTTTATATTCTGCCAGCCGTGTGGGAGGGCACCAGTTTTCCACATCCTTGCTAATATTTGTTATTTTCTGGGTTTTTAAATTTTTTATTATTGTTGTCCAAGTAAATGACAGTTGTTATCTTGTGATTTTGATTTGCAGTCCCCTGATGGCTGGTGATGTTGAAATTCTTCTCA